AGGCAAGTGTTGGAGGAGCCAGCTGGGACCAGCTGCCTGGCATGGGTTTGGGGAGGAGGTGAGGGGTGGGATGGAGGGAAGGCTGCCCTGCTCAGGGTGCAGTCTCTGATGGTGTCTGTTACCGACCATAAATGTGATTGAGAGGAAACAGTGCAGGGAGGGTCTCCTCCCCCATAGAGTCCAGGAAGCAAATATTCAAGAGAAACCACCCACCCTCTCATGGCATCGTGGGAATCAGGAAGAAATAGGAGGGGGTAGCAGAAACCTGACCCTCTGTGTCAGCCCAGCCTTCTCTAGAGGCCTACCCATCCCAGAGGGAGAGGTGTTGAGGCTGCCCAGGCTTCTAGAGAAGCATCACAAAGAGTCTCATCAGCTCTACAATACATGGCCTGAGGTGACCTCTGAAAATGGTTCGCTGCTTACTTGACCCAGAGAACCCCACAAATTCATGCAAATCAAGAGGTTCAAATCTTCATGTTCACATTAAGAACACTCGTGAAACTGCTCAGACCAGCAAGGTATGCATATCCAAAAAGCCACCAAGTATCTGAAGAATGTCTCTTTCAATGTGTGCCAATCCATCGTTACCATGGTGGAGTTGGTAGGTGCGTCCAGGTCAAACAGTGGGGCTAGACACAGGGTCAGTGGCCCAAAAACAGTGCTGAATGTTTACTGTACAGGCTAAAAAGTGCAGAGAGGAATGCCGAGCTTAAGGGCTTAGATGCAGACTCTCTGGTCACTGAGCACAGCCAGTGAACAAAGCTCCCAGGATGCGGCCCAGCGCTTAGAGAGCTCACGGGCAGATGAACCCCTGTGTGAGCTCCCCCCGCCACACTGAGAGGATCCTCACTGATAAGGAACAACTTGTTCCTAAACCAGAAGAGGAGGCTGCACAGAAGAAAAAGATCTCCCAGAAGAAACTGAAGAAACAAAAACTTATGGCCCGGCAGTAAATTCAGCATCAAATAAATGCCAATAAAAGTTTAAAAAAAGGGCTGGGCGAGTGGCTCGTTGGTTAAGAGTTGGCTTGGGAGCGCGAGCTCTGAGCAGTGGGGCTGCTGGTTCGGATCCCACATGGGCCAGTGACGCTGCGCCCTCTACAGCTAAGATGGTGAACAACAGCTCGACCTGAAGCTGGGCTGCCGTGCATCGCCAGCGATGGTGTAGGCTGCAGTGGGCTGCAGTGGGCTGCCATAAGCTACCATGAGTGGCTGGCAGCCAGCGTAAGTGGCAGGCAGGCGTGAACTGCCGTGAGCTGGCATGAGCCACCGTAGCCGCCGTGAGCAGCCATCCAATGGCCGGCAACCAATCTGCCTCAGCCGGGAAGAATGCAATGATCACAATACTAATATGGGCGAGTGAAGCGACATCCTCCACAACTAGACTGAAGAACAAAAGGACAGCAACTTGTCTGTTCGCCTTCCCCAATTCCCCAATAAAATCTTTTTTTTTTTTTAAGTTATATCTGGTGGCAGCTCAGAGTATGTTCCCTCCTGCCAGGAGGACTGGGTTCAAGCCCCACTCTCACTCAGCCTTGTGCCCTTTGCCACCCATGGCCTCAGCCTTACCATCTGTAAAGTGGGGGTACTGTGAGAAGACTTGTCACAGATGGTTGTGTGACTGGTTTCCTCATCTGTAGGATGATGAGGACTGTTGTAAGGCCCAGATTCAATCCTGTGTGGGAAGGTTCTGGCCTGGCTGGGCCTGAGGCCAACGTCTGCCCCAGCCACTTGTGTCAGTGACATGCCCCCTGGCCTCAGCCTCCTCTGCTATCACATGGCAATATGCCTGTGCTAAAGGCAACGGTGCTTGCCTCTTCCAGCCTGTTTGCCCAGCTCGAGGAAGCACCATGCTCCAGCCTGGCCACAGCCTCTGAAAATTCCAAGCATCCCCCTGCCTGGACATCGTGCACCTCCACATGTCCCAGACAGAAGCACGTGGTCATTTGACCTTCAGAAAGGTGGCTGCTGTGGCTCACCTTTCATCTCTAGTGTTCTCTCTTTAAAGCACAGTTAATTTTCTTGGCAAATGTGTGAGCCCCTGGGGTTAATTAGAGCAACGGTGGGATGTGAGCGAGAAAGAGCAAGAAATTCCTGAAACCAATTTCTGGATTCATATCTTTGCATTCTGCCACAGAATCACAAAACTGGGCAGCCTAGCCCAATCCATTCATCATACAGGTGGGGAAACTGACACCTGTGGAGCAGTGCTGACTCGAGTTTGGAGGCAGAGCCAGGTAAATCCAGATGTCCTCCCTTGTCCATGCTCTTCCTCTGCACTTGTGCTCCCGTCCGTCTTTGCCTGTGACTTGTTGATGAAGGCGCAGGTTCTCTGGGTATTTACTGTCTCGCTGTGGGAGTAACACCAGGATTGGCAGCAGAACATGGGGCTGACATCATGGCTCCACCGTGTACAACCACTGGAGCCAAGGTCACCCTGGAGGTGTAGTTGTCCTCTGTATAATGGGGGGTGGGGGTGGGGGTGGTAATATCTGTCTCGTGGGATTGCTGGGAGGACTGATTGATTAAACAACATAATGTAAAAAGCACATAAGACATTGAAGGGAATGTACAGTCATTTGCCTTTTCCTCCTCTCTCACCTATTTTGCTCAAAAATTAATTTTAAAAAGTTGCTTTTTAAAGTTAGGGTTTTGTTGTTGTCCTGTGCTTTTTCTGTTCTTCACCAAACCCACCCCTTCTCTGAGTCTCCACCAAAAGTGTGGGACCAGCTGCAGCTCAGGGCCCAGGTGGCAGGTCGGGGGAGGCTGGTGCTGGTCCTCTGTACCTGTACGGGTTTGCGTGTGGTTTGTCATTTTTTAGATTTGTTCTCAGGCCCCAGGTATTTTCCGCAAGCAGTGAATATACAGTCCCTGTCCTAAAGAGGCAAAATCCTGAGGGAAAGCAAGGTGCCAGTGAGGTGGCGCCCACAGTGCAGGGAGAGGGTGTGAGGGCCGGTGCTGAGGGACCCTGTCTAGGAGCAGTGGGCAGTGGGGGCTTCCTGAACGGCTGTCAGCACCTGGGCCCGTCCCCGGCAATTCTCTCTTTGCTGTTGCCCCTGGAAACCAGGCTGTGAGATGATGAAAATGGATGTATTGTTCCAGAAGCCAGGGCCCTGCCTGGCCTCCATCTCCGCATCGCCTGAACAAATGTTGATCGTGGCGTATCAACGCCTGCAATTCTCTGCAGGTAGAGGATGCTCACTCAGGGGGTTCCAGGCTGCAGGCTCCTCAGCGACTGGTCCCCAGGCCTGGCTTGATGGTTGACAAGATGGTGGATGAAAAAATCAAAATGGAAGCCCTCCTGCCAGGGAACTCCTGGTGCTTCCTGCTCCTGACCTTGACAGGACATGCAGGCCCCACATTGCCCCTACCTGGAGATGGAGGCCCAGTCCTGGCTCCTCACACGCTTAGTCCTGCCCTGGCTGCTTGCACATCCTGTCCTCACGTGAGGGACACACCCTGCTTCTGTCTGCTTAGCCTGATAGTACGTATGGCTGCACATTAACATCACCTGGGAACAAATACACTGATACCCAGGACCCCAACCCAGAACAATGAAACCAGAATCCCTGGGGGTAAGGCCTAGCATCCCCCCAATAATCTAATGTACAGCCATAATTGAGCCACTAGATCATTCCTGCCTATCTAGGGGAACTAGCTGAGGTCCCACTCATCCAGGAAGCCTTCCTGAACTTACCCTATGCAGGTAACCTTCCTCCTCGAGCACCTGTGGGCCAGATGAGGAGCATAGTCACTGGGCACTGACGGCAGCCTGCTTTGTGGCGGATGGTAAATAGGAAGCAGAATCCAGGCTTTGCCCCTCACTAGTTGTATCTCCTAGGTCAAGTTACTGAACCTGAGACTCAGTTTCTTCATCTGCAAAATGGGCATAATAATAGTACCTCATAGGCTGATGCGCTGTCAGTGATCAATTCCAACCTTAAGCCCACCCCTACCCCGTGGCTCCTCCATTACCAAAACGACAGATTCCTAAAAGGCCAACGAGTGAACCAGTTCACAGGTATCTCCTTCTCCATCTCCACCCACTTCATCCTGTGTGCTAGGAGCAGCTCCTCAGAAAAACACATCCCTCCTCACACTTCCCTCCAGGAAGACTCCTGAGCCTTCAAGTCTGACCTTGCAGGTGGCTGTGAGAAAAACACAAGGTCAGAAAACCATCCTGCCCGGCCTCCCATGCCCCCCAGGAGGCAGTCCTTCCTTAGAATCCATTCTAACAGCCGGGCAGAGCCTGCCCTGGCTATGGGCTGGCGCAGGGGCATAAGGAGGCACTTGGGCAGGGCTTCCCCTGCTCAGGATGCACCACTACAGGTTATAAAACGTGCTCCTTGTGAGATGGGCTCTGCCCATCTGCCAGATGACTTACCCAAGGTCACAGTTAGCAAGTCCTAGGGCTAGAGTTGAGAGTACAAGAAATTGGAAACAACAGAAATGTCCCAAAACAGGGAAATGGATCAATTCATTAGGGTACATCATATTGTGGAATACTATGCAACTGTTTTCAAATAATTTTAATAATATGGGGAAAGGTTAATAATAGGCTAAATGAAAAAAGGAGGACATAGAGTTTGATCTCCACTTTGTAATATATTGGGTTGTCGGAAAAGTCATGACGCATTTTTGCAACGAAAAACAGAAAAAATACATCATGACTTTTCCGACAGCCCAATAGATGTATTTAGTGGCAAGTATACAGACAAATATAGATTGCATATATATTTGCAATAATACCAAAAATATCTCTAAGTTGCTCCTGGTCCTTCCTCAGTAGGTCAGGCCTCTCTGCCCAGCCCCGCCCCCGCCCCAGGTCTCCTATATGAAGGTGAGTAAGCAGCGATATACTGACCAGGAATCTGTGCTCTGGGGCCTTGTCTGGGAATTCCATTTCTGTGAAAAATGTCACAGAATTCTAATGCACAGCCATGATTGAGCTACTAGGTCACTCCTACTGAGTGGAAGAAGAATCAGAATATTGCCAGTAGGTGGTGTTTATAAAGTTTTTATTTTCCATTTTCTTAAAAATAACATTTGATTTCCTTTATGCATGTGTGGAGTGTACTGGTTTCCTTAGGCTGAGTAATAGGCAGATAAAGACAACACGAGGCAGAGTACCCAAGTGGAGGAGGGGGCTGGAATGTGAGGGGTGGGGGGGCACAGGGGAAAGGGAGAGGGTGGGGTGATCCACGGGACGCTTGAGTGCCCATCAATGCACACACACGGTCTAACACTTTGTTTTTCGATTTTTTTAAAAGACATCTAAAATTACTGAGAGATACAATTTCAGCACTTAAATATACAGACGGAAATCCAAGCACTTGAACACAATTCTTAATTCTAAGCTCAGTTATTGCACATGACACAGTTTAAGTAGCTTCAGGCTATAAAGCAGTTTGCTCTGCTTGGGACTTCCTTGGGATGTCTCCAGTCCCCTTCTGCACCCCCAGTGGCTCTTCCCTTTGACCCCTGCCAGCCCACAGCCTCACGATGATGCCAGGTGTCAGCAGATTAGCCATTTTTTCTCCCCCCCAAGGGCTGAGGGTGAGGCTTTGGTGAAATGGAGAGTTCCCATGTTAATCCCAATGGACCCACCCACTCAGAGGTGAACTGGAAGTAGATGGAACTCATGAAAGACTGAGTGGGTGGCCTGCCCACTAAAACCAAGCAGGCTGGCATGAGGAAGGAAGGATGACCCCATGCTGTCACAGCCCCAGCAGGACAAGAGAGAGGCCATGATGCCCCATCAGTCTCAGCAGCCTCTCCCTCCTTCCTGAGCTCCATGCCACGCCTCCTCCCACATCACCCTTGGACCCTCTCTGAGTAGTAGTCTCTCAAGGCACATTTGTTCTCTCCAACTCCAGCCTACCCCGTCTTAGACACACCCATATCTCCCAGCATGGGTAAGGAGGCCTTGGGCAGCTCCAGGGCCAGGCAAGAAACTGTTTTGAATATTTTGGTTGAGCTCTTTTCAACACAGCCCTAATTCTGCTGCCTGCCTCAGCCAGGGGAGTGGGGACAGGACGGAAGAAGGACATCCAAGTGGAGGAGCGTGGGAGGGCCAGGTGGTGGGCAGCTTAATCAAGGGGACACATCCAAGGTGCTGAGAAAGGACCACCCTGAAACCCTGACCACGAGGAAACCTGCAGCTTGTCTGATGAGAAGTCACTGGCAGGCCTTCAGCTCACTGGGCACAAGCTGCTTTGTCTAGTTTTGGGGGACCCCTGTCTCAGAGAGTTAGGTGAAAAGCAGTGTGGGGGCTTCAGAGGCAGGGAGGGCAAGGCTGGACCCCTGAGTCTCACCAGGGTCCAGTTCAATGCCTTTTGCTTTCTTTCTACAACATATTTACAAGGTCATAAAAACGTGCACAACCAGAAGACACAGAGAGAGCATATGCACCCCCGGGAGAGGAGGATAACAGTAAGAGAGGCGCCCCTTCCTCCCTGCCCTCCCACCCCACAATGCCCCAGCATCCTTAACAGCCGTGCCCCAGAGGACATTCCAGAAGTCTGAGCTGGGGCAGAGGGAAGAGACAGACAGACTTAAATCCTAGTGAGAGCAGGAAGTTTCAAGTAGCTCCGAGTGGGAGAAGCTGCTGCTCAGAGAGCAGAGGGCTGACGTGAAGGACATATCCCTGAACTGAACTGAGCCGGGGGCCAGAGGGAGGAGGTGGGAGGACAGGGAAGGGGACAGTGGGGAGACGGGATGTGGGGGACCTGGAACAGCGTGACACCTGAACAGCCAGAACTGTGCTACAGAATGAGAAGCGGTTTAGGGGGCTAGCTGGAGTTTCCTTATTTCCCCCAAGAGAGGACTTGGAAGATGTGGATTCCAGGATGCAGTTAAGGGGTGGACTAGACGAGGTTCTTCCATAAAGTCCAACGGATGCAGCGGATGCTGCAAAAGCTGGGAGAGCCAGGCGGGAGCCTTGCACAGGGAACCTCGCTGCATGGACCCCACACCCTGCCGCCCACCCAGCACGCAGGGTGTCCCTCCTCATATCCCAGGCCCCCAGGGATGGCCCCTAGGCTCACACACAAGGGCACACGCGCGCGCACACACACACACACACACACACACACTCACACTCACACTGCACTCACCATGCACCCAAGGGCATCAGTGGCCCAAGTCTGGGTAAGAGATTCTGCATCAGCGGTGTTAAGGGAGAACTGGGCAGATTGGGTCAGAGGGGGGACATGGGCACCTTCTCATCCACTCCGGCTCCCACCTGATAAAGAGATTTGGGGAAACAGCAAGGTGTGGCCTCAGGGCCTAGCTGTCCCAGTCCCATCCCCTCTGACTTTTCACAACTCCAGAATATTTACTTCAGAGCTTGGAAAAGCCCCTCCAGTACAGCAGCCCTAGGGGAACCGCAAAGGGAACAAAGAAAACCCTAGAGGCTGAAAGGAGTGGGACTGGAAATGGCCCATGGCACACAAGCACCTCGCCCTGGAGGAGAGATGGAGGAAGGTCACGGTCTCTGAGGGCAGGAAGGTTGCAGGCTTCCACTGCTCCTCCTTCACAGGGTCTCAAGGACAACCCTTTCTGTCGGTCTGGCTGGGAGAGGAGCACTTATTAAAGGGTCAGGGAGGAGGTGGGCACACACACACACAGCCTCACCAAGACCCAGACTCTTCACCTGCTGCCTCATCCTCAGGCTCCCCGAGTAAACCAGGGGACCCCAGCAAGGGGGACGGGCTGGTGCACCACTCCATGTGGCCACACAGAGCTCACCGGCATAACAACTGCCCCTCGCCTCCAAAGGAACAGCCCCCACCTGAGACCCACAGAAAGAGGCTGACGGTTCCGGGTCTGGCATTCAGGGCTGCCCTGTCTCCACTCCTCAAATCTCCACCCAGATTTGCAGTGGCAGACTCCCTGCCCAGCCGGCCCTTTCTCCTCCATACCCAACTCCACCCCCAGGCAATGGGCAGTGTGGCAAGGCCTTCCTCTCCCCATGCTTCTCTGCTTGTGCCCCAGCTCCCTCTCGCCACCTCGAGTCACGCTGGCCTGGGTTTGGAGAGTTTTCTAGTGCTGGGGAGTCTGACAAAAGGAATGGGCTTGTTGCGGTGGGTGTCCAGGCCTATCTCATTGGAGGCTGGTGGGGCTGTCACAGCCAAATCAGTCCAGCTTGGGGAAGACCTGCAGCCAGCAGACAGTTCCTTGTCTTCCCTCCCGTCTGCAATGGGGACATGCCCGCAGGCCAGAGACTGACCCCGGAAAGGGGAGGCAAGGTGGGCAGAGCCGGGGGTGACCAATCAGGACAAGGGTACCAGGGCAGGCCTGGATACGGCCAGACGACGTCGCTGGGGGCATTTTATTTCATCAGTTTTGACCTTTCTGTGGGTATATGTGTGCAAGTGTGTAGATTGTTAAACCAACAACAAATGGAAAGAAAACTACAAGGAGGCCGCAGGGGCCTTTGGGTGACTCACTCTGCCAGGAGCAGTGTGGACCAAGAACACGTTTGTCAGCACATGCTACACACACACACACACACACACACACACACGCACGCACGCACGCGCACACACACACACACACATACACGCAAGCGCACATCCTGGCCACACGTGCCATATGTGTGACATGCACACTCACACTTCCAGTCCTCCCGGTTGGAGCCAGGGTCCTTCCAACTGTATTCTCCGGATCCATTCGTAAGCTGTCTGCTTCTGTCCAGGTCTCTGCTGGCCCGTCCCCTGGCCGCGGCCCCCTGGCCTGCCACGGCCCCCTTCGGGCCATCTACCAGATGTAGCCTCCGTCGTCTGCCTCGCCTGCCTCACCCTCCTCCTCCTCAGCCTCCTCGCCTGCTTCCTCCGTCTCCTTCTCTTCCTCGTCCTCCCAGCCGACACCGCTCCCAAAGTCCCCCGAGAAGCCCACGATGTCATCTATGAGGTGAATAGGCCAGTGTCAGATTAGGCCCCTGCTGGCCGCCTCTCCCCACTTCCCACACAGGCCCTCCCAGGAGCAGGTCAGAGCCCCCATGTGCCGCTCGGCCCTTACCACAGTCAGGGCTCCCGTGTGTGCGGGTGCCGGTCAACTCCAGGCCCAGCTGGTCCACACACCAGCAGTCGCCACTGCTCTGGTCACACTGCATCTTCCGGTAGTAGCCATCTTCATCACAGCTTGGGATGAAGACTCCTGGATGGGACAGGGCCCGGCAGGGTTAGAACAGGGGCTTTGGGGTGTAGACTCTTCGGAGAGGTGGCCTTGGAGCCTTGGGCATGAGCAGGGGTCCAGACCCCACCAGCCCAGGTACCAACCACCCAACAACCCTGGATGCCAGCATTTCTTTCAGTTCCACTGACCGGAGATGAGAAAACCCACCTCTAAATGACCTTCTCGGGCCATGTGATGGCTCCCGCCCACCTCTACTGCTTCTTTGACTCCATGGCCTGTCTGATAGGACTGCTGCTCTGATTCCTTTGCGCTTGATGCCCTCCATCCTGTGGCTGCTCCTCTGGCCTGGGCTGTCCTCTGCCAGCAATGCTCAGGCGTCTCCTCCCAGCCCTTCTGACTCTGACCTGCCTTCAGGGCTTACCTGCTTTCCCACAGGCTACAGAACTGCCGCTCCTCTGTCTATCCAACAGACGTCTTCTGAGATTACTACTCTTGGGACTCAGAGATAGACTCTGCCCACTTAGGGAGGTGAGATATACATGGAAATGGCTCTACCAGGCACCGCAGGATGGGTGCCCAAAGGCCCAGCAAGCAGGCTCAGGAATACAGACCAGAGAGGACTAAGGTGGCTTCTTGGAAGAAGCAGCACCGAAGTCCAGCCTTGAAGGCCAGGGGGCCCTCGGTCAATATGGCTCTGAGATGCGGTTCCAGGTTTCACATGTGCTGGTCTCATCAGCCCAGTTAAATGCCAAGCTGCTCTCAAGGAGTTAGGGGGCCCCATGTGATCTGCCTCTCAGATCCCTGTCCCCTCAATCACCATGCTCCAGCTACAGGGGACCTTTCTGTTCCCCAAGAATCTCAATTGTTTTCTTGCTCTCAGCTCTGCACTTGGGTCCCTCGTTCTCAGCCCTCAGGTCTCCCCTGAAACGCCAGCTCCGCAGAGAGGCCTTTGCTGGGCCCCAGGGTAACTTATGTCCACATGTGCCCGTCCTCACACCACACAGACGCAAGCTACAGTTGGTAGTTCTGTCTTTTTTTGTGTGTTGTGTTTCCCCAAGTCGCCTGTGCGCTTTATGAAGCCAGGGACCAAGTCTGTCTTGCCCATCACTTCTGACCTGGGCTGGGTTTATTGCTGTCTCTCCAAGGCTGGGTGTCAAATATTTGCTAAGTAGTGAGTGTCTACTATGTAGTGAGTGTCTACTGTGGAGGGGCCTTGCTAGAGCTTTGCACTTATCCTTGCTGAACTGAATAGAGTGTAGGGTTCTATGAACCTTCTGTACCCCCACTTCCAGCTCCAGCATGGATAGGCAAAAATTAGTGCTTAAAACACACGTACTAAGGGGCTGGTTGGAAGACCCTGCCCCACCACGAGGATGAAAAGAGGAAGTGAGTTTCCCTCTCCTGTCTTCCTAGGCCAGGCCTCCAGGGGCTCAGCATCCTCCCTAATGCCCAGGGGCTGGAGCCTGCAGTCTCAGAGGGACCCCGGGGCACCCCTCCCTGCCTCCTCCTGTGGGCCCAGCCCAGCCCCTTACCTGGCTTCTTCTTGGCAGCCTCCTGGATCTGGATGCGTTCCAGCTCCATGAGGCACGGGGGCTCTGTGGGGAGAGAAACAGCCTCTGATGGGGATCGCCCCATGGTGCTAGTAAGACTCACTGAGCGTCCCAGACCCCAAGGCTTAGAAACCCAGGCAGGGGACACACTGCAAGATGAAAATACCGAGGCTCAGATACGGGCCACCCCACAGAGATGGGGAGAAGCACTGATCCCTTTAAGTTCCCAAAAACTAACACAGGAGATCTGCAAGATAAAAACACCCAGGCTCCAATTGAGGGGAGGTTATTCCATGGCTGTGGGGTGGGCTGAGGTCTCCAAAAAGCCCAGGGCTCTCTGAAGGTGTGGGGGACCCAAGGGATGAGCAAACAGGATGCGAAAGAAGAGTGAACGCAGTGCCCACAGGGAGAGGCCCCAGGGGGAACATAAGAGCCGAGGGGACGTTAGATGGAATCCTAAAAATAACTGGCAGCCAAATCGAATCTGCCTGTAACCTTGAGAAGTCCCCTAGCCCTTCCCAGCTGGAGGCCTGGCTGATGGTAAAAGGAGCGCCGTGCCCAAGCTCCTGCCCGAGAAGGCTGCTGTACAGAATAGACGGAATGAGCTTCAGAGGCCGAAAAGACAGTGTGGGAGTGATGCAGAGAGCAGAAGGCTGGGCAGGTAGGAGCAATAAAACTGATCCAAACACCGCACTTGGCAGAGTGATTTTAGCATTTACATGGTGCTCTGCACCCAGATTTGCTTGGTTCATCCTCACAACAGTCTCTGAAGTAGGTATTGTTATCTCCCAATTCAGATGAAGAAACCAAACTCGGAAAGGTTCAGCTACCTGCCCAGGGTCCCAAACAAGCATGTGGTGGAGCCCTGGCAAAAGCCTGAGAGTTGGGCCACAGGCCATGTACCGCTTCCACCCCAGGACCACCACGGAGCCAGGCAGGGCACCAGGGGCCACCCCAGGAGCCTGGCTGGTCAGTGGACCCTCAAGACCTCAGTTTCTTCATCAGTGACAGTTGCCACTTGGCCTAGATGAACTCTAAGCACATGTCCAGCTGTGGTTCGGGGTATATAAAGCTAGTAAATGATGCCATATCTCTAAGGCTAACGATCCCCTACATAATCACATATTTGGGGCAAATAATGTGAGATGCACCCAGAAGTGGAATCATTGAGAAGCCAATGTAGCTTTAGCTTCAGGACCCCTCAGCCCCTTCCAAAGTCCTACAAGCGTCCCTAGAAATGTTACATTTGTCATTTTTAATACTCTTTCCTAAAGAAGGTCTCCAAAAGTGCCTAAGCTTCAGGATCAACAGAGTCTGGATTCACCTGGGAGCTTGCCAAGGAAGGGAGTTAAAGTGTTGGATACGCTGAGAAAGTACAGGAAGTGGGTGAGCTGGGCAAGTTCTGAGACCAGGGAGGTGGCCAAGACAAAGCCACTCGGACTCTCAAAGAGAGCCTGGAGTGAGAGGCAGAACCCGGAAGGGCCAGGGGTCCTGGCAAGGAGCCACACTCACTCTCCCTCCAGAAGCAGAAGCACCACTCAGCGGTGGAGACACGGCCATCCTTGTAGGTGTCGCAGGAGTTGAAGAAAGGGCGGATGCAGACCTCGTATTTGTCCAGGTTAATGGCAGCCAGCTCCGTCTGGTCCAGGAAGAGGTCGGCACTGGTGTCCAGCTTGGAGAACATCCAGCCGATAGAGTCCTTGCAGCTGGCCCCCAGGCTCTTGTCCAGGCCTGGGGAGAAGGCCAAGGTTCCCACATGCTCAAGGTAAAGTGCTCCATCCATCCCTCCACCTTTCCATCAGCCCCAGCCCTCTGTTCAGGGTCAGGGCAGCTCGGAATCTCAGCACAGGGGTGAGAAACTCAAGAGTGGCGAAAGGTCCATCCGTCTGCCTCTACCTAGGACTGCACCTAAACCATTCAAACCCCTATTTGAAAGACCTTCAGGAAAAATAATTCCTTACCTTTCCTTAGCTACCCAATTCAGGGTTTAAATTCCCTCCACCCATTTTAATAAGTTCCTCCCATTAACCAACCCAAATCCCTCCTGTCTAGTTGAAGCCTACTGATACTTGTTCTGGAGTTTAGGCTCTTTTAGGGGCTCAGAGTCTGGCAAGAAGGAGCACAAGGAGGGCTGGCCCCAGTGCACACCTGTCCCCCCATCTCCCTCCCTCCTCCCAGGCACAGCAACCGGCTCCTGTACCACTGGCAGGGCTGGCTCCACTGCTGGCTGAGCCGTTCTGCTTGGAGTTCTCATGGAGGAGCTGGAACCAGTCCCGCAGCCGATCCCCCAGGTCAGCCAGGTCCTGACCCGTGCAGGTCTCTGCAGAACAGGGAGAAGGAGGGGGAGAGTGAAGGTGTGCGGAGCAACAAGCGTGATCTGAGCTTGGAATGCCACCCTGTAGGCCAGGAGGCCAGGCAGTGATCAGAGATGCTGCAGGAAGGGGAGTTAGAAATCAGAGGCTCCCTCTCTCATCCACTCCCATCTCCCTCCTCCCCCTCGCTTCCTAGCACTAAAAACACACAGCACAGGCTCCCCTGTGCCTGAGGCCCAAGCTCTCCTGCTGTGTTAAGCAGGCCCCCCCAACCCCACACGTCCCTCAGGTCTGCCCGTTTTTGCTACTTCTCCCTTGCCACCCTGCAAACCTCTCTTACCATCCCGGAGCCCTGGCCGTGAGATCCACCCTTCCCCCCAATCCTGTCTGTGACCCAGCACTCCTCATTACCTGGTTTGCCATCGGTGCTGGAGGTGGTGGCCTGCTCCGTGGGGCAGGGGCAGGGACCCTGGCATCTCACCATCAGCTGCTTGCTACTCAGGCACGCCTGCTGCTCCAGCTTACACTGTGAGAAGAAAGGTTGGACTGAGTGATGAAGGCCTCATTCCAGGGATCCCTGCAGCTGGGGCACCTACCATGGCAGCTATATCTGCCTTCCCTGTTGGAGACAAGACAGCCCCCATGAATAGCCTAGAGGGGCCCCCCTGGAGGCCACGGGTGCATAGTGTGAGGGACAGCAGACCCAGGTAGAGGATCCTAGCAATCGAAGGCTCTCATCAGCCCCACCCTGTACCCGCCTGCCCTCTCTGCCTGCCCTCTCTGCACGTTTATCTTTCCTGGGACACGTGTCTCCCCATCCCCTCCCCATCAGTCACCCACCTTTCCTGTTGAGCTATTACCCACCCCCGTCCTTTCCCTCATAGCCTCTCCTCCTCCTCACCACAGTCCCTTGGTCCTGGGCAACTGGCTGCTGACCCCTCCCTCAATGGCCTTTCCACAGTCACCTCCATGGGCTTTGCTCAGTTCTCTTGATAACAGTTACTGGCTATTGAACATCTGCTAATTCCCAGGCCTTTACTAAAAATGCTTAACTGCAGCTGTTAGCTAAAGCCAGCTGCTGAGAGGGGCTCATCCATTCGTTGCCCTTAAAGCATTTTCCCCTGGTGGTGTCTGGTTTTTCCCCATGGGGTGTCCGCTAATGAGAAGCCGGTCGTAGCATTTTACAGCATTATCTCGCTTGGTCCCCTTCAGCTCTGTGAGGGAGGAATTGTGTTTCTCATGCTCAGCAGAGAACATGGAAGCACAGAGACGTCCAGGGACTCACCCAAGGCCACAGGGCTGGGATGGAAGCCAGACCTCCTAATGCCCTCTACCTCCCCACAGGGCAGGCTGTGCCCCTCAGACCACAGCTTCCTGCCCAAACCCCATCATACCCTTGGGCACGTGACATAGCACTCTCCCCCGCTCCCTCTCCCTCTCCCAGCCCCACCTGTCTCCTCAGGGCAGCTCCAGCCCTCAGCCTCTTGCTTATTCTCTCTCCCCTCTCTCCTCTGGAAGACCTCATCCCCTCCCCAACTTCAGTCCTCACTCACAGTGGGGGAGTGGGGCTGATTTTTTTTTTTAATATTTTATTGGGGAATCGGGAAGGGGAACAGACAAGTTGCTGTCCTTTTGTTCTTCAGTCTAGTTGCAGAGGACGTCACTTCACTGGCCCATGTTGGTATTATCATTGCGCTCTTACTGGGTGAGGCAGATCGGTCACCAGCCTCTGGACAGCCGCTCATGGCTCATGAAAGTGGCCGCCAGCTGCGGGCCAGCCCCACTGCAGCCTATGCCGCCCGTCGCCAGCAACTCACGGCAGCCCAGCTCCAGGTCGAGCTGTTGTTCACCATCTTAGCTGTAGAGGACGCAGCATCACTGGCCCTATTATGGGATCTGAACTGGGGCCCTGCTGCTCAGAGCTGGCGTCCCAAGCCAGCTCTTAATCAATGTGCCACTCGGCCGGCCCTGGGGGCTGATCTTACAACTGCATCTCACCCCCAAAGGGTTCTTAAGCCCTAGAACCCAACCTAAGCTAACAGTCAGTGCTCTCTAAACACCAACCAAATCTCAACTCCTCGTTGCTAGTAGAAGCATTCACAATTAGCACCTGCACCTCATGGTGCTCTAAAGTTTATAAAATGCTTTCACAAATATTATCTCATTTAATCCTCACAAAAATCCTATAAGGTGGGAATTCGTTCCCCGCACCAGTGTTCCTTCCTCTATGGTCTCACAGAAGGCATTTCCTCCTCCCCAGAAGGCCCCGGGCTTGCTGGCGAACGCCATCCCCTGCACGTGAAACCTGCCTGTAGAAAGCTCCATCCTTCACTCGCCCTTCACCTCCGAACAACCGACCACAGAGCTCCTTCTCTCCGTAGCACCTGGGCTCTTTCTGGAGGCTCTTTCCTCGTTTACTCTGACTTGCAGTTACCTGCCTCTTCCAGGCCCCACCCCCTATCTGCACCTGCCCCAGGTCAGGGGCATGGTCTGCCTCAGACTCTCAGTTAGCCCCAGCCCAGAGCTCAGGCGTCCCTACTGTGACTGGCCACACCGAATGCACTGACAGAGCCCTTCTGCCCCACATCAGCACCGGGAACCCCACTTGCTGCTGGCTACATGGTCCTCTGTTTCCTGTGGCCTTGGGTGCACCCCACCCCCACCACACCTGGGCCAGGGTTCCTCACCACTGAGCTGTACGTGTGGCCGTCAGAGCCACAGACAGAGGCAAGCTGGGCCATGTGACAGGGCTTGCAGATGGTGTCTTGGTTTCCATGGAGTTTCAGGGCAGGCTGCTTGATCCTACAGGACAGGGGTGGGGAAGGCACATGGATAGGGGTGAAAATGAGATGGGGACAGGGAAAGAGAAGGTTCAGGGGGCCGGGTCCAGCAAGAAGCTGGTCCTGGCAATCTGTAGCAGATACAGCCATTTCTCTGCCCCTGCCACCCTGCGCCATCACCCCCAGCCAGACCCTCCTCTAGCTCCTAAAGGTGGAACCAACTAGGCAGGGTGTGGTGCCAGCTTTCCCTTTTCCAGGGGTTACTGAGTCCAGCGGGGCCTTCAGGGTCAACCGTAAGACATAAAAGGGAGTTGCACTTGGCTTCAGGGGTCAGACCAAATCAGAGGCTGCAAACTGATGGCCACAGCTGGTCTATAGGCTCATTTTGTGTAGCCACTAAGGGTGTTGGTTTTTAATGGAGTTATTCACCAACATCTGCAAAATGGAAGAGTTCACATAAAAACCTGGATTCCTGGCCTTTCTTAGGAAAATGGAAGATGTGGTGATTCTGGTCCTTCATTCTCGCATAGCCAGGGTCAGCCAGTGCCTCTTTCTACAGGGCCTGGGCTCACCGGAGTGGTCCGTCACCAAGCTCTCTTCATGCATTTACGTTACCTGCCAGGTTCCTGCAGGCATCTAAGATCACAGTCCTAAGTCTACGGTCTCTGATTCTGATTCAGGGAAGAGGGGAGGGAATTGGCATCTTTTCCAGGGGTCTTGGCAGCAGGTAGGATCTTGTCCTCGGGCTGGAGCTAAGGCCTTAAACGCCCCTCACCCATGCCATCCTCTGCAAGCCTCAGAAGCTACAGCCTTCAATATTTCATGAAGTCATTGCATGTCAGAGCTGGAAGGAGTCTCAAACTATCTGGGCCAACCTATTTGTCTTAACCGATACAGACACCAAGGCCCAGAGAGATGTGACTTTCTGGGATCCCACATGTTTGGTGATTGATCTCACATATAGTGTGATGGTTTTAAAATATGTCTGCCAATTCTCTGACATGCCTCCCTTCAAAAGTTGGAGCCAAATCCCCCCCCCCCACCCCCAGAGTGTGGCAGTCCTTATGACTTGCTCTGAACAATAGAAGTGGCAGAAGTAATGTTGTGTGCTTTCTGAGGCTAGGTCATAAATGACATGTGGCTTCCTCCTTGCTCTCTCTACCTTGAATGACTCGCCTTAGGGGAAACTAGCTGTCATGTTGTGAGCCCACTCAAGTGTCCCATGGAGAGGCCCATGTGACCAGGAACTGAGGTCCCTGGCCAACAGTTATGTGAGGAGCTTGGAAGTAGATCCTCCAGCCCCAGTCCAGGCTTCAGGCAATGCAGCCCCAGCCAGCATTTTGGTTGTAACCTCATGACAGACCATGAGCCAGAACCATCCAACAGAACCACTTCTGGATTCCTGACCCTCAGAAGCTGTGTGAGATAATATACGTTTGTTATTTTAAGCCACAACGTTTTAGGGTACTTTGTTTTGCAGGAAAAGATAACTAATACATAGGTGAGGGCCACTCAAGCCGTTACTCTTTAAGCGAACCCCCTCCAAGGCTCCCACATCCCCAAGCCCCTCACCTGTGCTCCAGTTTCTTGCGGCTAATGCACATGGCCCGCTGGTAGCCCTGGGCGATGCACACCTTGTGACGGCTGCACTTCACCTTCTGGCAGGGGTCCTTGGTGGTGTCCAGGGCTGCAGGGACACACAGTCAGGACACAGGTCATCTGGGAAGCAATGCCAGAGAGCCCAGGACACCCCAGTCCCACTTCTGAGGTAGGAAGGCTATTTCTCCAGCAGCGCTTGATAAGCAGAGCTCCTCAGCTCAGAAGTCCCACCCTCATGGGGCCTGATTGCCCAGGGATCCCCCAAGGCCAGGGCCGGGACTTGTCCTCAGGCCTAAAGTCTTCATGGGTGTCAGCCACCTTTCCCTTCCTGGGAAGGACATGTTACCTTCATCTCCTTGCTGATTATCTTCCCAGCTCTTGATGTAGTCATCCTAGGGAAGGACAGAGAGGGGTGGGAAGAGAAGGGACAGGCTAAGATTCACATCTCAAAGTGGAGGTTCAACTCCAAGGCCAGCGAGAGGGGAGGGCTGGGCCACTGCTTCCACATGCAAATTGCCACCATCTTGATGGCTGCCCACACGACCCCTGTTCACACAGGCCCTGCTAGCTGCCTTCCCCAGACCTCTATCCCCCTAAACCCATGTCCAAAATCCCTTCCAGATTCTCCCATAAGCTCCTTATTCCCCCTATCCCACACTGGATGCTAAAGGGAAGAAGTCAGGGCAAGGGTGAAGGGAGGAGAGGGGACGGGGAGGGGGGCATGCAGCTGCAGAGTGACCAAATGCATGGAGCCCCACACAGTACTCACCTCCACCTCCTGGAGACCGGGAAACAGCAGCAGGCCACAGGAAATGGAGCAGAGGGAGAAAGGCAGAGATGGGGATTTCAGTGTGCGGTCCCAGCGTTCCTCCCCCCAACCCCCACCTCATCACATGGCCGTGGGCCTTGGGCAATGGTCTTTGATTGCTATGGTCCTTTGACCCCTAGACCCTCTAACTGGAGGATGGTATTCCTATATCTTCATCACAGAAAGCTTAAGACCTGGGGCCACTCAGGGCTGGTCCTAGAAGCAATAGGGGTGAAGCCCACGGCATTGAGAGGGTGGAGCCCCATCCCTCTCCTACAGGCCCAGAAGCTGTTCCCAATGGCCCAGCCCTGGCCCCACCATTAGGACAGATGTCTGAGGGGCCCATACTCCCTGGGAAGAGTGACTCTCACACCTGAGCCCTGGGTGTCCCAGAAACGCCACTCTCTCCCTTTACTAAGGTCCCTCCTTGGTAATCACCTCCCCTGGCACTTGCCCACCATGTGAGCGAGGCTGAAGGAGGACCTCTCTCTTCCAGGCTGCACAGGGACTGTTTTTCACTCAAGCTCTGACTTTCCTGCAGAGTTTAGATGGTGCTCTGAGAGAGGGAGGCCACAGCCCAGCCCAGTGTTGATGGTTTCCTCAGTTACCACTGCGCAGCTGCAAATCCTCAGATTCAGAGGATCCTGAAAAGGCCCTCTGAAGTCATCTGGCTCAGGCCCCTTTGTGTGTGGGAGAGGCCGGAAAGCCCAGAAGACAGGAAATGACCTGACCCAGGCCCCACCGTCACAGAACCCAGGTCTCCCAATACCCACCACAGGCCTCTCTTCTGGCTACAACACAGTCTCGGAGACCTAAGGCACATGCCAGATGGCTCCCCACCCTGCTCTGGCCACAAGGACCTCCCCTGGGCCCATGGACCCCACAGTGGCCAGAGGCAGAGCAGCCCCCACCCAGCCTAGCTCACTAGCACAAAACCCCCAACTCATTCTGGCTTTCCCACTTTCCTCTATGGCGGCAGTTGCTGAAAACTAGCAAACAGCTCCCAGGGCACTCCTGGTGGACGCTCTGCCAGCCAGGCAAGAAGAGGACTTATCAGGACTGGAGGCTGGCAGTGCCAAGGAATCAGCTGCCAGCCTCCTCTGGACGGAGGTAGATGGGCACGAGGAGCCACCCCTCACCCTGAGTCCCGCCCACCTGTCAGGCCTAAGGAAAAGGGCCTAGGGCTCCTGCACCAGAGGGCAGCCACATGGGGGCAGCAAGGGGCACAAAGGAGGGCATCCACAGCTGCTTTCAAGGCCCAGGGCTCTGGGGCCTCTGAAGTCTCCCCTGGAAGTTGACTAGCATCAGAGAAACAGGCAGGGATGAGAGCCTCATCAACACGGCCTCCTAGGCAAAGTCCAGACAGGGGCCAGGGCAGAACTAGCAGTTGGCATCAGCACCCAGGCGGAGTGCACTATGGTCGGGTGTACACTGAGTGTGTGCTTCTGCACATGTGTGTGCATGTATGCAGGTCCAGGGTGCACACAAGCACACTCATGGGAATGTATTCTGGAGCATGCATGTGTGCAGGTCCTCGTCTGTGCGCATGTGTCCATATGCACACACGTGTAAACAACACTAGGAAACAAGGATGCTTTGAGGCACCTCACCCAAAGCCAGATGGTTTTTATCCAGAAATGAGTAACAACGCCCGCTTCTGAGAGCAGTCCCCAGTTTTCTTGAGCACCAAGTCCCTCCCTCTGGCTTGGTCTTCCAGCCTCTTCCTCAGAGAGAGGGGGCAGGGGGCAGGGATGGGAAGAAAGGGGGATGGGCCAGAGACCAGCAGACCTCTCCCTGTGAGGAGAATCTGGCTTGCACCAGCTCTGCGCTCTCTTTCTGTCTTGCTTTCACGTGTCGCTGTGTCTTTTCATCCATATCCCTCTGTATCTCTCGCCTCTCTTTTTCCTCTCTTGCCCCCTCCTTTTTGCCCATACCTGCGCCCCACACACACACACATCCAACCAGCCAAATGTCCTACAGCCCTGGAACCCAGGAGCAGGCCGGAGGAAGGGCTCAGGAGGGTGTTCTGGGGAACCTGGCCTGGGTAGCCTGCTGGGCACTAGACAGACCAAACCAGACTGTAGGCTCATGCACATACCCAATTCCACAGGGCATGGCCTGAGCCCACGTGAACCCCTGGGGAAGCTTCTAAGGAGACGGCAGGGCACCTGACAGGGAACGGAGGCACAATTTCCCTCGTTTGCTAGGACCAAAGGAAGCCAGCCTAGACCTGGCCCTTATGCTCCAGGAACTCCTCAGGGTGCAGGGGTCCTCCCCTGGTATCCACTCCACCACAGGTGGGAAATGCAGGCTGAGAGTGGCCAAGAGGCTGAGGCCAGGATTACAACGTTGGGCAAAAGCTAGGAACTGGCCTCAGGAGTAGGTGGCCTGGTTCTGTCCTGCTTCTGTTGCTGATGGATTATGTTTTCCCCTGAGAGGGGGGGATTTGCTGTAAAGCAAGGGCCAGGCCAGAGGGGAGGTGATGTGAGCCATAGGGTGAGACTCAAAGTTTTGGTAAAAGGACATGTACGCTATTTTACCTGGTTCTTTCACCTGGTTAGTTCAGCCAGCCATAACCACCCCTGCACCCAGTGGTGCTCAGCATTGAGCAGGCAAGTGGGAAAAAGCTTGGAATGTACAAGTATGCTATGGCTTGTATTTCATGGTGCTTTTAAATTAAGTCCTCTCCAAATATTATGTATCTGTCTTCCATTTACCCTCACAATCCTGTGAAGTAGGCAGGTCCATTAGAATCAATCCCATTCAAAAAAAAAAAAAAAGAGAGAAAACTGTGGCTCAGAGAGGCAGAGCAATCGGTCAAGGGTCCCAAGACAGAGGAAGAAGTGACCCAGGACTCCCCAAATGGACCTGACAGGACGGACCCTACACCCGACCTTACAGGTCGGTGGAGTCTCTCGTCGAGAGAGGTGCAGAGTCTTGCACGGGAAGGGGGCAGGGGAAGAGGTGGAGAAGATTTTGGACCCACAGTCTGCCCTAAAAGTGCCTCATTGCGTGGCCTCGGCAAGTCACTTCCTCTCTCAGGGCTAAGAGCCCTCTGTGCCATGTAGGTACTTCTCAGCTATGACTGCACATTAGAATCACCCGCAGAGCTTCTTAAACCATCCATTGCCCAAGCGCCACCTGAGCCCATCGCAATCTCCTGGGTAGTGGGCTCTGAGAGCTCCTGCTAGGGCTAAGCAGGCAGCTGAGTGAGCTCATTGTGCCAGCTCTGAGGTCTAAGGGCCTGCCAGAGCTGCAGCTTATGTCTAATGCTCGTCTTAGCTTCCCTGTGTCTTCACTGCTCATGTGGGGCCTCAGGGATGAAAAAGAGCAGCTCTTTTCTCCCTCTAATGGCGCCTCACACAAAGCCGGTGCTCAGTGCTCCAGGAAGAGGCTGACTCGCTGGAACCCAATCTCCTGATTCCAGGCTTTTTCCTTTGGAGCGCACCTCATACAGCCCCCTCCAATCTTATATCAAGCCTAAGACTCTGCCCTGCCCTTATCTTCCACCGTCCTGTCCACTCCACCTCCTCCTTTCTCTAGCCTGCCTCCCCTCACCATGCCCACTGCTCCTACCTTCCCAACCCTGGCCTCAATCACTGCAGTGTCTCCTCAGGGGTCTCCCCGCGTCCATCTGTCCATCCGTCCATCCTCCACACTTCTGCAGCTATAGCGATCTTTCTAGAACACAAGTCTGATCATGTCTTGTCCTCCCTTAAAACCCTCCACTGAATATACACTTTGCTCTCATTCTGAAAAAAAGTAGGTAGAAAGGATTCATACCAACACTGGTTTCCCCTGGAATACAGAGAATTTTGGCATATTTTTGCCTTTTCCCAAGTTTCCAAATTTTCTACAGTGTGAACATGTTTTACATTGTTAGTGAAGGGGGAAAAAAACCCCATAAATATATTATACGACTCTCAGTGGTTCTCTGTCACCTACAGAGGAAAGACCCTGGCACAGCCTTCTCCCCCATCGGGAACGTGTGTTTGCATCCAGCCCAAGAGCTTCTATTCATCTTTCAAAACCCAGCTCGACCATCATTTCCGCTAACCTGCCTCCTATCCAGCTTTCCCTCAGGCGAGAGCACCTGGTAGCAGTTTATTATTGCTCCCGTTATGCAGAGCAGCGTTGTTGCTTCTGCGCTCCTTAGATGGCCAGTTCCTTGAGAGCAAAGACCAAATAAAGTTCATTGGTGTATGCCCAGCACCTAGCACATAGTAAAAACACTACTCATAATAGCTAACATCTTTTCAGCAATTACCACATGGGAGGCATTGTGCTAAGCACTTTACATTCATTAGCTCATTTACTCTTCATAACAACCCTAAGGGGGGAAAAAGATCACTATTATGATCCCCATTTCTCAGGTGATAAAATTGAGGCTTGGAGAGGTTAAGGGACCTATTCAGGATCACACATCAGGCGCACAGCAGAAGAGTACTGGCAACCCCAGGACTGTGATTCCAGAATCTGTGCCCCTAACCAGGACTCTGTACTGCTCCATACACATTAGCAGGTGAAGAAAGTCCCAGGCCAGGAGCTGTACCCAGGAGGCCCAATCTCAGCCCATGCCGGCTTCTCCCACCACGCCAGCTCTGCTTCAACTCCCAGGCAGGGAGGGGATCCTGTGGCCACAGAGGAGGAGCCAGCAGTTGTGGGGCAAGACACCTGGGGGCCCCCCTTCTCCAGGCACTTTCCCAGAACCCCTTCACACGCCCCTGGTTTGGCTGGTTTGGAGCTAACGCATCTCCAGCTTTTGATCTCTGTGGCTCAGCGCGGTTGCCACGGAGACGGGGCCCACCATGCCAAGCTGGGGGAGAGATGGTGGTGAGTGCGCAGGCCTAGCTGGGCTTAGGGACACATGCTGGGTGTTTCTAAACGCTGTTTACTTCCTGTCATTTTAATTAGCACCCAAATCACCCGCTCACTTCACAGCTTGAATTAACCCAATCTCTCCCAGCCTC